TGGCTGGTACTACAGGTACTTCCTTTTGTGATGGTTTGGCTGGTACTACCGGTACTTCCTTTTGTGATGGTTTGGCTGGTACTACAGGTACTTCCTTTTGTGATGGTTTGGCTGGTACTACCGGTACTTCCTTTTGTGATGGTTTGGCTGGTACTACAGGTACTTCCTTTTGTGATGGTTTGGCTGGTACTACCGGTACTTCCTTTTTTGATGGTTTGTCAGGTACTACAGGTACTTCCTTGTGTGATGGTTTGGCAGGTACTATAGGTACTTCCTTTTTTGACGGTTTGTCAGGTACTATAGGTACTTCCTTTTGTGATGGTTTGGCAGATACTATAGGCACTTCTTTTTTTGACAGTTTGGCAGATACTACAGGTACTTCCTTTTGTGATGGTTTGGCAGGTACTACAGGTACTTCCTTTTTTGACGGTATGGCTGGTACTACAGGTACTTCCTTTTTTGATGGTTTGGCAGGTACTATGGGTACTTCCTTTTTTGATGGTATGGCTGGTACTACAGGTACTTCCTTTTTTGATGGTATGGCTGGTACTACAGGTACTTCCTTTTTTGACGGTTTGGCTGGTACTACAGGTATTTCCTTTTGTGATGGTTTGGCTGGTACTACAGGTACTTCCTTTTTTGATGGTCTGGCAGGTACTACAGGTACTTCCTTTTTTGATGGTCTGGCAGGTACTACAAGTACTTCCTTTTTTGATGGTATGGCTGGTACTACAGGTACTTCCTTTTTTGATGGTATGGCTGGTACTGCAGGTACTTCCTTTTTTGATGGTTTGGCTATAACAAACAAGAAAAGAGTGAATGGTTAGTTTATTACATGTGCCGAATATTTCAATGCAGTTTAACTGAAAAATAAGACAAGAAAATGTAATTAGACTCACCAATTTCTAACAACTTTTCCTTCTTGTGATGTTCTGGGTGAAGGAAAAACAAAATATTATTTTGTACAGTGCTGCTATATTTATTCCTCTTAGTGTTTTCTAAGCAAATTGAGTTAGATGAAAAACTAATATCCAGTACCTAAAATATCATTTAAAAGTCATATTGTTTGATGCTGAAAGAATATGCTAAAAGCAAAAGGAAAACACTCTATATCCTTTGACAAACTAGGACTATGACTCCCAACCTTCTCCATGCTAAGATTTTCTCAGTGTACCACTCTATCTAGCCAGGACTCACCTCCTTATGACCACTTTTCATAACTCAACAAACATTTAATGCAATGGATATGACTAACAAGGGAGGAGAAAAATAAATGCCAATTTGAATTGATAATGTTTCTTATCAGTATGAACTAAAATGCATATTTAAAAAAAGAGATGAATTAATTTGCAAATGAAATAACTGTGGTTAAAAGTATGAACAACAGTGTTTATGTATAGGTTTGGTTCCACAAAAGGACTTGCTTTAAATTCAGGGATGTTTGTGCTGCATGTCCTGTACAGAGAAAGAGGTACTTTTCCAAGGTACCTTTAAAAAAACCCTGACATTATTAGTTACATCTCATCGGTACCTAATTTTCACATTTTCTCTAATCCTAAAACAGGAAATATTTCTGTGCTAGTTGCATGGAAAATGTTTATATTCTAATAGTTTTCAGTGTAGGCTCAAGATATGAAGTCTGGACCCAGTTCTACATTCAAATTTACCCTAGTATGACTTTGGGTGCAGCATTCTTCTTTAAATCAGGTTTTAGCAAATACTTTATGCAATCAGATACCCTCAGCCCATCTACCGTGTACTCCACTCAAAGGGCTGGGTCTAAGCATGCGGTGATGACATTAATAATGATTCAAACTACTGGGAGCTCCGTTGTCATTCTATACTCTATCTGGAATAGAAATAGGACAGAAAGTATTTAGGGTGATCTAGCTCAGTAGTCCTTTAGCTTGGTTTCACTGACATAAACAAGCTAAAAATGTCTTTGGTAGAAGCTATGAAAGGCAGAACCACCAGCAGGAGAAAACAGCTGACTTCACATTGACATCATTTCATATGTACTGCACATTTTCAGTGCCTGAAACGTGCAAGAGTCTTATACTGTGTAGAGCTGTTTAAATAATGTTTCTAGTTCAGTGGTTGAATCCCTGTCCAAAAGGGGGTAGGTGGTGGATTTTATTAAAATGAAAAGAACGAAGCATTGTATTCTGCAACAAAGAAACATATTCTGAAAAATATATTCTGATTTTTTTCAACTGTTTCCCCATTTTTTCAACCAAAACAATTTGACAACCTCAGTTTGAATTTCATAAACAATTATGGTCACCACAGATTAGCATTTTATGACAAATAAAATATTTGATTAAATATTTTCACCCAACTTGCATATTAATACAGTGTATCCTATATGTTGCACATGTATACAGAAGCAGCATTTACTTTGTATAGTCATATTTTACATCTGAAAAGGTAGCCCTTGCAGACATGCACATAGGCTGACATGGTCAGAAGAATGAGCCAGAAATATGATTACAAGTAATCAAAAGTGTTGTTCTAAATACATAGTCCTATGTTTATACCAGCATTCTCACTGGTGTCACCCTTTTTGTGCAGCTGAAGTGAGGAGGCATTGTGCAATGCAAACAAATGAGGAGAAAAAGGATAAACACTAGGGAACAGTAACTTGGGCAGTTGTAATGAATTTCATCATAGCACTCCTGCAATACTGCAGCCCATGCATTGTGGCACAAGTGTTCCTCATAGAATACATTTCTATATGCATATGAGAAAACATGTTTTACAACCTTTTTGTTTTTATTTGTTTTTAAGGGTTTTTTTTTGTTTTCGTTATTGTTTTTGCTTTGAGTTTCTTTCCTGACACTGAAGGATAGTTAATGACTAGGGGTGTGCAAAGCGGGCCCTATTCAATTTGGATTCGACCAGAATAAGGGAAAGTGATTCAATTAGTTGATTCAAATCACTATCCCTGATTTGATTCCGCCAAATATGAATCTGAAGATTTGTTCAGCTTTAAAAGTTTTTTCTACATGCCTTGAGGTAGCAGGCACGGCTCGTGATTGCTGTGATGCTGGGGCATATGGAGTGTCACACAGGAATGTGGGGGGGCCCTTCATATGCTTGGCAGCGAACCCAGAAGTGGACCAAAAGTACTTCCTGTCCACTTCCGGGTCTGCTGGGGAGCATGCTGGGGGCCCCTCCCACACTCCCCTGGCTCGGTGATCGGCTGTAGGGGGACCCTGGGTGCCCCCCCCGACCCAGGAAGCACCAGTAACCGAGGCGGGGGGGTGCGGAGGAGCTGCCCTGAGCGCTACCTGGTAGAAATGGAAGTGGACTGAAAGTACTTCTGATCCACATCCAGGTCCGCTGCCAAGTGCACTGGGGAGCACGCTGTGCTTCTGTGGGACACTCCATGTGCCCCAGCACTGCAGCACTCACGAGCCTCCTGCTACCTCAAGGTATGCAGAAAAAACATTTAGAGCTGTGTTTATGTCTGAATCTCCAAATCCTTCAAAATTGATTCGGAGAGTTCCAATTCAATTCAGAGAGATTAAAGGGTCCTCTGATTCAATTTGGATTTGGAGATTTGGCCACCAAATCATGCCAAATCTTTGCCGAATGGGATCAAGTACTGAAGCTTCACACAACCCTATTAATGACAGCTTCTACGATTCTGGTGCACTGATTTTTCCCTGTTTTCCCAGGGTCCACCAATTCCCATTAGATCAAGGAAGAACTGTGTAATTCTGGAAGGACCTTTGTGCAACCTGATATTTTTTAATTTTTCTTTTTATGCAACATTGTTTATTGAATTTCAAAATTTAAGCATTAAGAAAATTCACTGTTTTATTTCCAGATACAGTTAAACTGAATTTTTCAAATATTTGCAAGGTCTTTTCTATGGGGATGTTTTATTCAGGAACTCCTAATATTAGGCTTCAACATCTTTAAACTGTGAGGGAGCTTGGATCAGTACCCAAACTTTTGGTTCCCTCCTAATCAACTATTATAATGGACTGAGTAAAAGTCTTTTACTACCACTAAAGCAACTGAAATGTCACCATTTTGGTTACATCAGAATTTTTAAAAGGTGTTCATCTTGATGCAAACCAGCAAAATATTTATTGTGTATGTTCACAAAGACATGTAAAGGTGATTTTGTTTTTCTGTGGGTAACACATTTTGTGTGTCACTGAAAGAGGTGGGAGAAAGAAAAGAACTTGCAGCTGCCTCTGAGGCTGTTATTTATGCCACTCCATTCCTTTATCTGCCAGGGGTGCTGAAAAGCATTGAGTCTGGCATATTCCTGCAGTCTATTTTAGATCTTCACCAGTAGCAAGGTCATTCACAATCTGTAAACTTCTGCCATCTGCTCCCAGTAGAACATTTAATATAGTCTCATTCATTGTACATATATGCATGCTTTTCAGCCAAACTAGATGAAGCATCATGCAAATAAGTGATAATCACAGTGTCAGGCAAGGTTCTTTGGGTAGATGTGACATCTTTTATTAGACCACCTAAATAGCCGGAAAAAAGTTGTTTGCAAGCTTTCAGGCACAAACACCCCTCTTGAGGCATTGGGAGATGCTGCCGCTTTTCTGTGTTCTTGGAGCATCACGTTCTTGGAGAACACAGAACAGCAGCAGTCTTCCAATGCCTGAAGAAGGGTGTTTGTGCCCAAAAGCTTGCAAAAAACCTTTTTTTTCCAACCGTTTAGTTGTTATAATAAAAGATATCACATCTACCCAAAGAATCTTGCTTGTCTGTGTCTTCAAACCAACACGGCTACAGACAAAAACCCTATAATCACAGTATGACAAAGTTTAACTTCTATTAAATAGCCTTCCCCCTTCAGTTTATTCACTGGTATGCCATATACACAACTATAACCAAGCTTGTTTTAACCAGAGAAAACAGTTTCTATATTTTAGGGAAAAAATTAATCATTCTCACCTGACACATGATATCTAATTAATGTTACTCTCTAAAATCCAAGCCTATCCTTTATATTTGAACACTGCAGCTCCTTATGAGGGAAGCCAATAGCGTCAAATGCCTTTCAGTTTTATTTGCCTGCCATTTTCTCATATACTGGTTCAAGAAAGAAAGAGGTTCATTACCATATCTGTTATCATAATTTTAACATGGTAGTCTGTCCTCTTAAGAAGGGGCAGCACACTTAAGTATGTCCGACTGTGGAAATTCTGCTAATGCAGGAATGTCCCCCTGGGAGCTTTAAAACCCCAAGGGAGAGAGCAAAAGGAAGCTACCTATGTAGGAACTGCTTGAAAGAAGGAGAATCCAGGCTGCTGTGCTGGAAAACAGCCAGAGGAGAAACTGGCTTTTGTCCTAAGGTCCAGAGGGGGTGGAGGATTTGGTTTGTTTGTCTTGTGACAGACTGACGTGTATTTGGTAGGAATTAAACTGCCTGATGAATTAACAGGAGAGCTAATAGGATTGCAAAAGGCAGCAGGATAAAGGACCTGCTTATAGCTATGCACTTCATTTTCTAAATAGTTCAAGAATAGGTCCCATTGCTGGAACACCAGGAATAAAACCTCTCCCCTAGTAAGGTTTTGGAACCAGCTTAATAGTTCCCAATAGAAATTAAACCTGTCTTGGACTCACAGCAATTTCTTATGAGGTAGAAGTCCTAAAATTATATTTTGTAAATGTAATGGATTAAAGACACTCTAGCTTCATCTCTGGAAGGTGATAAAATCAGAAGGACATCTTCCTTCTGGCACTCAGCATCACCCTCTGGCACTCAGTCACTCTTAAAGACAGATAATAACCTTCCTACAATGACAGTCTAGTCTTTTTTTTCCTTTTCCTCTATCAGTGTCAGATAAGAAGTGTTTTCTAATCAAAATGTATTGAAAGTTCCCAAAAAGAGTAATTCAAATAATCTCCTGGAATGCTGTTTGATGGACTCTAGTTTACCAGACACGAATGAGCAGAAATGAGCTAGGTTTCATGTCTCCCTATCATCTTCAAGACATATTCATCTCCTTTTCATACTGTTTTAATATAATGAACAATTATAAAACTTAGACTATAATGGCCATGTCTACACAAGCAGCTGACTGCGCAGTTATTACTGTGCAGTCATTTAGTACTTGCTTAACCAAGTACTAAATGACTACCAGCATTATTGTGCAGTCCCGTAGTTGCACAGTTATTTTGAGATGCTACTATGCAGTAGCAATGAGATACTGCGCAGTAGTGTTGCTGTCACA